GAACAAACTTTAAAACACACAGTCTCTTAAGACTATTTTTAGCAAACAAAAAGAGGAGTTCTGTAGTAGAAACATAACCTTTCTGAGACAAAATATGATATGGAAAGCATTTGCACATTTCTTTGGCAAAACATTTTAAAAATAATCTTCAAGCACATTTGTCTGAGGCACATTCCAACTAAACACACATAAAATGACCCAGCAAGTAACTGCAAATACTGTGTTAAAGTTATCGGATCAGAATTGCATAGCTGTTTACATGATCACTTTAACTCTTCATCAGGAGCAAGTGCTTAAATATTAAATTGCATTAACTCTTCTGAAGTAGAAATCTGTTTGATGAGGAGTATGTAGAGTATAACCAGTTAAAAAAGTAGTTAAGGCAGTTCAGCTGTTCAAGTCATTATAGCAAAATGTCCTGTAAACATAGCTCTTATCCTGCAGTCCGTTGGAAAGCAAAGGATAAGTCTGTAAGACAGGCTGTGGGTGTTCCCTGGGGAAATGGAAAGAGATGAAGCAAAGGAAAAAAACATTAAATAAGGAGTACAAAGCCAGCTTGGCATATTAAGAAATAAATACTGGAGGAAAGATACACCTAAGGCAGTGACTGAGGGCTTAAAACTTCAACCACTGGTTCAGACTGCAAAGCCTGGGATTTACTGCTAGCTTATACTGGACTGGAGAAGGGCCAACAGGTTTTGATGATGAGCCAAAATTAGTCCTTTTACAGTGAGTTCCCATGGTGCTCACTGACTTCTTGTGTTGGTGCTGTGACTTTGTGTGGTTACAGTTGGGATTGAATTAAAAAAAGATAAAACAGGCCATGTAAAAATGGGCTTTCTGCTCACTGGCAAAGTGGGATAAGAAAATGGAAACCAGCTGAGGAGTGGTATTAAGAAAAAAGCTCAGCTGAAGAAGTAATGGTGTCCAAGAGTGGATTCAGAATTCGGATCTGAGTATAACTGAGGATTACTTTTGAAATGAGGGTGATAATTTTGCTCTGTAGTCCTAAAAAATAATTTTTTAACTTTGATTCTTCCTCACAAGACCTTGACATCATTGATCTGATCAAAAGAAATGCAAAAAATAAATAGCTTTTGGTTTTAGATCTAATCCTAGAGCAATGTTACCTTCTCTGGCACAATGGCACCATGCCCCAGGAGGTGTCTGTGTGTGCTACAGGTGGGAGCAGCTGGGCCATACCCTCTGGTCCACAGTGAGGTAGTGCTGGCTCACAGACTCCATCGCTGTGCTAATACAGTGCTGTGCCTAAGGATATATCCCTTGCTGAAAAGCAGTGGCCAGGGAAATGGTCTTTATTGTGGAAACTCAGTAGCCCATGAATGCAACAAATGTATGTTTCTGTATCTGCTTGTAGAGAGGCCCCTGGGGACCACCCGAGCTTGGACAATCCAACTGTGCCACCCCCCAGCCCAGAGCTGTAGGACAGGAGATGTGATTCCCCTTCCCATGGGAGGTTCTGCCATGCTGTTCGCTATATACTGACATATGGCCAGTTTGAAAGGCTGATGGAAGCTGTCAGAGTTTACCAAGCTGGTAAATGTTTCTTTCCAGATCTCAGCAGTGAGAGGGGAGTGCACACAGCAGGTTGCTGTGCTACGTGGTAGATGGTAAACTGAAAAATGAAGTGCTGCGCTGTAAAGAGTAAAGAAAAGTTTGTGAGTACATGGAATCAGCAACAGATGGCAAGGCCTTTAAAGCATCTTGCTCTTCCCAAACACTGATTGTGGAAAAGTACTAAGAATTAAAATATGCTAGCAAAAATGTTATTTTGGCTTCCTTTCCCCTTCTAAGCAGATTAATTCTGACTGCATAGATGTCTTGTTTGACATTAAGCAATACAAAATCCCATAGGGTTGCAAGGAACATTTTCAAATGAGAGTTTTTTGGTTTATATGGGTGTCATTTTGATGGTGAGCCTATGTACGTGTCTAAATAGATATTATTTTTTCTTCAATTTCATGTAGATAGAAATGAGACAGCTTTATGAATGCAACTTTCAAAATTGATCATTTGTTTTACTTCCCTGTGTTTTGGAGTCACAAAGAAAGATTGAAAAGACCTTTGTGGTACCCTCTGAGAAGTTGTATATGGTAGTTTTAAAGGAATTTCAGTCCAGTCTTAGCTTGTTATTAAAAAAAAAAATCACATCTATTAATTTTCTGATCTATGTACTTAAATTATTCTTTCTGCTGAGACTTTTTTACAATTTTCACTTCATAGCTTTGCTATTTTGCCTTAATTTGATGCTCCGTTGCAAACTAGCTACTGGTTTTGCATAGTTTCCATGCAAGTTCTCTTTTACACAGGAAATTTTAACAATAGATTTTGGACAGTTTCATCATACCGTAATGCAAAGTACAGCTGAAACTAAATTGAAAGCACATGGGGACCTAGCATGGTTAACTAGTTTTTGTTCTTGTAACAGAGACTTGAAGTGTGACACAGCAGCAGATGTGTGGCAGAAGAAGAAGAGTTAGGAGAATTTAAATGGGAAAATGGAGTTCTCCAAAGGAGAAGAAATATTAAACTGAGGGACAGAGCACAGAGAATTGAGCAGAAATTTCAAGTTTGTTTGTGCATTCATATTCTGAGGGACAGCAGAGTTAATGCAAAATGTAAATTTTACAAGAGAAAGTGTTGATTCTGCTGGGTTGGTTTTTTTTATTGTTTTTTTTTTCCCCCCAGTATGTTTTGGATAATGTTGACAATAGTATTCAACTCTTTCTGAGCTGCTGGGGAATGTTGATACAAAACAGCTTTTGCAGTAGCTGCTTGAGGGCCAGGGTTAAATTTCCCAAAACCAAATTTCAGTTGAAAACATAGGGTCAAACTGGCTCTTATTTTTCTCTGGTTTTATAGAAATTTTCCAATATTCACATAGCAACTGCATAAGTCCCAGGCATTTTGGTAAGACAACACAGTTAGTAACACATCCCTGGGAATGAGGGTCAGTGGGAGACTTAGGATCCTACCGGGCACACACCACAGCACTAAGCATTCAGCAGCTGCTCTTGGAGGTGGAGACACTCTCAACATGAGTTACCTTTGAGCATACAGCAGGGTAAGGATGAGGAAAAGAAAATGCATCTCAGTTTTGCCACTCCATGATAAAGAGAAGGCTGGGCTAGGAGAGAATTAAAGGGGAAAAGGGAAAAGAGACTCGTGGGTTCAGATAAGAACAATTTAATAGCTAAACTGCAATAATACTGGAAATAATAATGATGATAATAATAGTAATACATACAAATATACAAATGAGTGATGCACAGTGATACTGCTCATTACCCAATGACCAAGGCTCAACCCGTTCCTGGCTAATGATCCTGGAGCAAGGAGAGTCCTGAAACTGCAATCCCAGAATGGAGATAAGAACCCCAGTGTCTGAGAGACCAAGATGACTCAGAGAGGGGAAACCCAGAGGGAGACAACCCAGAGCAAGAGAGAGCACTTCTGGACAGAGCCCTCACCATACACTGGGCATGATGTGCATGATATGGAATATACCATTGGCCAATTTGGGTCTCAATCCTAAACCTAAGGTCGAATCCTAGGCTAGTAATTGTGGTCTGTGCTCCCTCCCAGCTTCTCCTGCACCTGCAGACACTGGCACAGCAGGCATGCTGAGAAGACCTTGACTGTTCTGGCAGCAACTATAAACATCAGTATGTTATCAGTTGCCTCCTGAGCACAAATCCAAAACACAGCCTCACCCTAGCTACTATGAAGAAAGTTAACTCTGCCTCAGCTGAAGCCAGGTCGGAGCCTGATTTGAGCAGAGCAAAAGTATGATTTTTTTTTTGCAGACTCAGGGAGACTGGCAGTAAAATGCTGCATAACAGCCTGCCCAGTGACCCCAGGGAAAGAAACTTGGCAGAAACTTTGTTCTCCTTTTATACAGTATTTGCAAAGACTGTAGACACTCCATGTAAGAGCCATGTGGTGAATTCCAAGTGGGTGAGGTAAAGCGTAGGGGTCTGGGGTGAAACACGTTTGTCAGAAGCACTGATTGTGCAGTCACCTCACCTGCGTTGCTGCCAGTTCCTCTTGCTCCAGATACTACATTTCCTAAGATATTCAGAAAAATGAAAATCAGCCTGCTGCAAAAATATTTTCTTGTCTTAAAATGTGGAATTTCCTTCCAGGCCCTCTGTCGTACACTGGCTGCAGGCCCAGTACAAACAGTATTGCACAGCTCTACAGACTGCACCCAGTGCCTGAAACCCACTCAAAACAGGAGCTTTTAAATCCATACAAAGGCAAATTCTCAGTGGCAGAAGATAATATCAAAACTCTACAGAGGCAAAATATCAGTGATGCATTTTCATGGTTGTAACAAAGCACTAACAGCAACCGATTGTTTCAAAATAGCCTGCTATTTTTTAACAAAAACACAAAAATGCCAAACCATTTGGTAATTTCAAGTTCTTGGAACCCTACACTTTGGCTGTAAGATTTGTCTAAAAAATTAGCTGGCACCTCACAGTTAATGGAGGTCACTGCCCCATGTCCCAGGCCGATGTCTCAGGGACTAGAAGACCAGGGCTGATCACTGTGACCATCTGCGATGTTCTAGGTGCAGGAGGAGTCCAAAGACACTGAGATGCCTTGAATCACCACTGGTGACTCAAAACAATGCTGTACCTGCAAATGGCCTGGAAATTACCTGGAAGCAAAAAACCTTTACTTTCTATGGACTGTCAGAAAGCCACATCCATCTTCTAATATTATGTTTACACCTTTTAAATGGTGTTACTTTGTGATAGTCTCTTGATTTACATAGGGCAAGCACACTATAGTGCCTTTTACGTAGAATATTGTTAAAACCCTCCTGTAGAAGTCATTAGTCATCTCTTTTTTGCTGTCAGCTCTTGATCTGGAGACAGTAACATTAGTAGAGCATGAACCCTAGATGCCGTGGAGGACTGCGGCCTTTTCACAGATGTAG